TTTGGAGCTATATAGGAATAACTGATTTCACAAACTCGCAGTGAATGTTTAATTTTACCATAAGAACATTTTTAGGTCACCTGAGCTTTAGCTCAAGTGACCTATTGCTATCCGTTTTCGTCCGTCGTCGTCCGTCGTCCGTCGTCCGTCGTACGTCGTCCGTCGTCCGTCGTCCGTCGTCCGTCGTCCGTTAACATTTTACATTTCAAACTTAAAGTCAAGTTCTGCTGGGCCGATTGAACTGAAAGTTGGTAGGAATGATCGCCTCATGGTCCTGACAAAGTGTTGTTATTTTTCGGGTCGATCAGAAATCCAATATGGCCGCCACGGCCGCCATTTTGAAAACCTATTTCAAACTTAAAGTCAAGTTCTGCTGGACCGATTGAACTTAAAGTTTGTAGGAATGATCGACTCATGGTCCTGACAAAGTGTTGTTATTTTTCAGGTCAATCATAAATCCAATATGGCCGCCACGGCCACCATTTTGAAAACATATTTCAAACTTAAAGTCAAGTTCTGCTAGGCCGATTGAACTGAAACTTTGTAGGAATGATTGACTCATGGTCCTGACAAAGTGTTGTTATTTTTCGGGTCGATCAGAAATCCAATATGGCCACCACGGCTGCCATTTTGGTAAACTATTTCAAACTTAAAGTAAAGATCTACTTGGCCGATTGAACTGAAACTTTGTAGGAATGATCGAATCATGGTCCTGACAAAGTGTTGTTATTTTTCGGGTCAATCAGAAATACAATTTGGCTGCCATGGCCGCTATTTTGCTACTAAGTTCTAATAGGCCGATCTCACTTAAAATTGGTCTAGGAATGATCAGCTCATGGTCCTGACAAAGTTAAGTTAACATTATACTATTTTTTACTCAAATTGGTACATATTTCAACAACAAAAATAAATACTATAGACTCAGGTGACCGTTAAGGCCCATGGGCCTCTTGTTAATGATATGCATAAATATGTGATCACGTACATGTATTTTAGGAAAGCAGCAGAAAAATTGACACAAAAATCATGATCAGGATAATGTTCAGAGAAAGAAAATATTTATTATTTGTGCCCAATGTCGATGATATTTTGTTGATATAGTTTTTAGTCTAGGGTCATGATTTAGTTCAAGGCCTATACGACGGCAGATATAATCTTTAGGACATGTATATGGTAAGTTTTTAGGTCTGAGGTAATAATTAAGTGTAGTTTTGTAGGCCAAAGACTATTCTTAACGAGGCCTAAAGTCATTGATATGTCATTGATTGAGGTCATATTTTATTCTTTAAGCTAATTATTACTGACTGTGGTTTGAAAATTTTTATGCTGTGTATAGGGGGTTTCCAAAATTGCCCCTCCTTTGATTTCAATTTTCTTTTGGTGAGTTGAAGACCTAAACCTTATCATAACAAAAACACCCATTAAAATTCAAATGAGCACTTGGTTTCTCAAAAAGCCTGAGTTTTTCCCCCCAAAAAAATATTTTCAAACTAACAATGCACTGAAGGATCATTTATGATGCAACCAAAACTACGGATCATGTACCAAAGTATACATATGAAAATCCCTTGCTTTGGTTAGTTATCAGATATGTACAGATTAAATCAACAGCCAGAAGCCATCTCAAGCAATGATATTTTCCAGACTAAAAATGTGTGCATCTTAGAATAAAAGTCATATCAAAAGTACCAGTTACAAAAATATCAATCCAAAATATGTGGTGGAACATATTCATAAAAAGGATCAAATGACTATATGGTCTATACATCAAAGGTCATGACTATATGTATAGTCTAATCATTCTGATTGAAAACTGACAGAAAAGAAGAAAAAAAGTGTTTGGATGGAACGAGTATTTAATCAACAGAAAAGATGTTTGGAAAAGATTCAATGTTTGATTCCTTTTCAATATGGCACCAGAACATTAATTTTACTGCCCAATCAGATTCATAGACAGCTATCACTGTAATCCAGAGATTGTGTGTTTGTTTGCTACTTTGCTTTTATATTTATATTAAAGTAAGACACTGTATTAACAGCTGATGACGCATTTACAGATAATTATTGTTTTGCAAGATGCAAAAGTATGAAAGGTGTTCGAATGGCAGACATGGAAAAAATAATGAAGAAAAAAATGATGCAAGGCGATGAGTTTGTTTTTAAAGTGGTGATTCTAGATTACAAAAAAATAAAATTATTTCAAGCTTTGTCGGAACTTATTAGCCCTTGGGTGCAACTGTTTTGGATTTTGAAGGTTGCTATGATAGCCAAGATAATGAAGTATACTTGATGTAGGAGCACACATTCCCATAGTTCTTTGACCAACTTGGCATTGGCAGTAGTAATCTTTTATTGGATTATTATCATTTGGTGTCGTGTTCTGAATCCAAACATTATATTTAGTCTGGCTTTTGTGTCTGGAACAAATTCGACAACGGGTGAGGTCTTGAGAGTGCTGATACACCCATATTTCATAATCTTTACGAATTCTGACTTTGTTTTCTTGAAGAGGGCTATACAGTTGATTTCACCCTCTGAGCCAAACAGTTTGTTTTTGTAAGTAGAAATTCATTTGATGTGCAAGGTCTCTGTCTTTTGTGTCAGTTTGCAGTGATCTTTGATAAATTGGTTCTCGTATCCAGTTTAGACATGCAGTCACTTCCCCAATTATATCAATGAAGCAGTTTTATATTAATTGAGTTCTACCATTATCCAATAAATTAAGACGGCCATGATACAATTCATCGGGATTTAGTAACTGTTCTGTCAATGTTAGCCACTATAGATCAGAGTGTTAGCTCTGACGTGAGTCTTAAGATATGAGGGCATACTGGTATTAATACCAGATGCCTCTAACATTGGCAGAACATCTCTAAAGCCATGATCAACGACTACATTGTCGTCTTGCTTCAACCATGTGAGCTTGTCCATGATATTTTTATGTAATGTTTGTATCATTTTGGCTTCCAGAGAATGCTTCTACTGTGCCCAAAATGTAGCCATCAAGAAGCGATAGAGATAATTTAAGATAATTACGCTCCTTCTGGCCAATGTAAGACTTTCTCTGAAGCTTATGCTCAGCACTTTTTTGAATATAAATACATGTGCCATCTATTAAGGTAAGTCCCTTGTCTCCAAAGATTGTTTCTGAGAATAAAGTATTTGTGAAAGTATATGTCCCCTATTCAAGTGTTAAGGACCAAGGAACACTGGAACTATAGATTTATTCAATGCCTGTACTACAGAATGAAAGGTTTTATAAATACCAGGCAGGGAAATGACAAAAAGAGCGGATCACTTAGTTACAAGAGATATCAGTTTTCATCATAACCCAACAGTAAAAGAGCATTTTGTGTAGTTTTGGTCTATACTGAAGAAGAAAGGAAAGTGACAAAGTATGGATGGCTTTTGAGAAACGGTTCTTATTGGTCAACCTGTCCATTTTAGCTTTGCAGTCAGGGTCCAAGAGACAAAAATTAAGAGTGAAGGCTTATTGATTCTTTGATAAGATGTACGACTCTTCTAAAAGGTCATCAATTATTTCAGATGACCTAAACCAATTAATTGAGAATTCAAAGACCCTCTTCCTTATAGTATAACCGATGTACAAGGGTTCAGGTCATTGCCAATAAGAAGAAATGAGAATACACATGATGATGCAGAACACCACAATTTGTGTGTGAAAATTGACTGATTCCTGGCATGTTTTTGCAGAATTGTGGATTTGCTTCCAATTGAATAAAAATTGTTAAAACAAAGACAACTATTTTATGTGAACAGGACCTGTAAAACAGGTCCTTGATTGTTAAGAGAGGAAAACTTCTAGTAGTTTCATCTTTAAAACATTCTTTTTTAGATTCTCTTTTGCGCAGATACCTTATGTAGCCTTTGGACAAATACTAACTTCTTCATTTGAGCAATCTATGCCACTTTTTGTCAGTATAACCAAAAGCCATTTATGTTATGGATTTTTTTACATTTTGTGTACCTTTACATTTACGAGATTTTGCAAAGATACGATGGCGACCTTCACCAATACATTTACTCTTCATTATGAGATGAATATTAACAAATGAGTAGAAATATACCCTAAAAGCAATGCAAAAATGAAAGTCAGCTGCTAAAATGTATGAGAAAGGGGAGGTGTCTTAGGCCCTCACCTTTTCGGGTACATAGGGTACTTTGTGTTGTGCGAAATGAATACTTTTCACAACTTATTTGGACTGAATTTTTGCATACATATTTCAAATAACACCACTTCTTCATACTATGAAAATGTTCGGTATACAAGTAAAATAAGAATAAAAAAAAATTGATTAAACTCACATTCTGGATGATAAATATATCATTAAAGCACTACATGAAAGAAAATGTTCTTTCCTAAGTTAACTACGATGCAAAAAATACGATATTTCTTTTTCAGAAAAATACTTTCCGGCTGATATTCCATTTTTTAAACCACCATGCTGTAATTTGGTTTAAATTAATCATCTAAAAAAATATTGGTGATTCAAAGTAATAGCATCGGATGTATAAAGGATTAAAAAGAGTTAAAACAGCAGCATAAATCTCGTAGCACTTCTGAAACAAAAGTTACGAGGGGGCAGGCTCCTATGTAAATTTAACATATAGCTGGAAATAGTCGCTTTCATAGGGTATGTGCTAAAAACAAAATTAACGTGATGAAGCTTGTGTAATATTTCAGGCACACTATTTACAATTGGCTAATTAGATATAGCAAAATAATCTCCGTAATAAAAAAAGCTTTGAAGGGTTTTGCTATTTTATTTCTGGTCAGAAATGAAACTGGTTGATTATGCATGTGCTACTGCTAGCCTTTTCAAAAACAGGGTCCTAAATGAGTGAAACATTTGGATATTATTCAAAGGAACTTGAGAAAAAATCCTTGCAACAACTGATGTTAATCTGCATCTTATATTATTAAGCTGCATCTTATATGATGAATATAAGGATTTTAATGATACACATGATTGTTGAAGGTGCGAAGACATGTGGATCTGCTACAGACCTTGTTCCACAGATTGAGGAGTGCCAAGCTGGAGAGGACATCACCACAGAGGAGATTGACTTTCGCAGAGAATTTAATGCCAACGACATCCAGTCAGTCCTATTAAAGGCTCAACGGGACCGCCTAGGAGAAACTGTTTCCTGTGACTGGTCGAACGAGTCATTGGCTTCAAGAACCAGCATCTGTAGCTCCAACCTGTTGGATTCCACTACTCCAACACCGTACAGCGAGAGTGTTGCAGAGGACGAGGCAGAGAGTGGCTGTGGTGAAGAGCCCTGTGAGTTTGACTCTCAGTTCCTAGATTCAGTAGAACGTGTGAAAATGATGCAAGGAAATATGAAACCCCCAAACATTCTAGTATATTGTGGAAAAAAAGACACAGAAAAAAGATTTGCAGGCATGAGAGCTACACTGGAGCAGTGCATCAATCTAGAACGTTACGTTATTTATGCCTTAAACCATGATCAAGTGAAGAGGGATCCATGGGCAGATAACTCTGCTCTTCTGGTTGTGTCATGCGACAGTCTCCATGATGGGGTAGGAGATGCCTTTCTCCGATACTTTGAGAGCGGAGGAATCATTCTTAGTTTCGGTAGCCCATTCGATGCAATGTTTGTGGCCAGACCTGAGATCCAGCAACAGGTTCAAGTGGGAATTTCCAAAGTTGATTTCCGCACGTGGAAGGGAGTGTCGGTACTGAGCGGGAGTCACTGGTATGATTCCAAAGCAGTCACAGGGGAAAAGGTCACGTTAACTGTACTGGGAACAAATCACAATGGTCAACCAGTAATTTTAGATGTAAAGTCACAGGGTTCGGAGGCAGGGCATGCCATTATGTCCCAGGTGAGAGACTATTTTTACTAGTTCAACACGACTTATAAGTAAGAAATGCATAAAAAAAGTTATCAAGGCAAATTCCATTTCAACATTGATGACAGTGTACAAATTATTATTATTTTGTATTAAATTAAAATCTGTGCAGGCTATATTTCTATAATTATGTATATATAAAATTGCAGACCATGCAAAGAACTTGTCATTTGAGGTATTATTTTGACTGGAAATATGACTGAGCCTGCCATTTTTGATGAGTAGTTGATAATTGCAGGTCTTACTCAACAAAGACCCAACTGAGCATGCCTGTTCAGATGAGATGTTTGCCGTGCTAAAACAATCCAATCAAGACCGATGTGACATGCTAAAAGAACTATTACAGGACCTGGATGTGGATACAGATAACAGCTCTATACCAGTGTTTACACCATGCTACCTCCTGTCTACCGCAGAGGTATGTAAATTACATTCTACAACCCCTGTCTAACGCAGAGGTATGTACATTACATTATACACCTCCTGTCAAACGCAGAGGTATGTACTTTACATTATACACCTCCTGTCAAACGCAGAGGTATGTACATTACATTCTACACCTCCTGTCTAACCTATAAGGTATGTACATTACATTCTACACCTCCTGTCTAATACAGGTATGTACATTACATTCTACACCTCCTGTCTAATACAGGTATGTACATTACATTCTACACCTCCTGTTTAACACAGAGGTATGTACATTACATCATACACCTCCTGTCTAATACAGGTATGTTCATTACCTTATACACCTCCTGTCTAATACAGGTATGTACATTACATTCTACACCTCCTGTCTAATACAGGCATGTACATGTTCATTACATTCTACACCTCCTGTCTAACACAGGTATGTACATTACCTTATACACCTCCTGTCTAACGCAGAGGTATGTACATTACATTCTACACCTCCTGTCTAACACAGAGGTATGTACATTACATTCTACACCTCCTGTCTAATGCAGAGGTATGTTAATTACATTCTACACCTCCTGTCTAATGCAAATATATGTTCATTACCTTATATTTACATTTGCATGGCATTGTCACTATATAGCCTCTTTGAGAGCTGTGTCGTTGATGGGACTTTAATTACCATGCCGCACGAGACATAATTACCATGCCGCACGAGACACAATTCTTAGTGTATTAATTACAACACTGACCGGAACTACAATATCCAATGTAAATAAACATGATTGCTGCTGAAATGTCATTGTAAGTTTATGTGCAAAATAAAAAATAAAATAAAAAACACTTTCATTACAACGAAAACAAGACCAAGGTCTGCAATATCGTACAAAATGCACATCGGTTGAAATCACCAATGCCGGCAATGGAAACAATTTTAACGCTCATGCAATTTATCAGAAATATC